CTCTGAAGCTGGGATGGGATGGGGAGAAGGAGATGGGATGTCAGAGAGTCATTTTGAAGGGAGGGGCAAACATGGGCTGGGGGAGCTAATTTGGGCTGGGAGGGGCTATTGCAGATGCGAGGAGTTTTTTGGGGCCGAGATGTGGCGCCTGGGAAAGTGCTGGTGGGAAGATGGTTGGTGGGATGATGCTGGTGGGACGATGCTGATGGGAGGTGCAGGGATAATGGTGGGAGGATGCTGATGGGATGCTGGAGGGAGGATGCTGGAATCATAGAGAATGGGTTGGATTGGAAGGGGGCCTTGAAGGTCACCTAGTTGTTGGAGGGATGATGCTGGTGGAATGATGCTGGGATGATGCTGGTGGGATGATACTGGGATGATGACTCTGGGATGATGTTGGTGGGGTGATACTGGGATGATGCTGGTGGAATGACAGCGGAATGATAGTGGTGGGATGCTGCTGCTGGAATGCTGGGTGCTGTTGGTGGAATGCTGCTGGGATGCTCTTGGGGTGCTGTTGGGACGCTGTTGCTGAGATGCTGCTGCTGGGATGGTGTTACCGGGATGCAGCTGCCGAGCTGCTGCCACCGTGATGCTGCTGGGGACACCTGACAGGACCCGGGGGGTTCTGCACTTGACAGGGGCCGAGAAGTCAAGCGAGGCAGAGAAACGAGAGCCGGGCCGGCCCCGCGGCCCCGCCCTGGGCCTGGCCAAGCCCAAGATGTTGGTGATCAGCGGCGGCGACGGCTACGAGGATTTCCGCCTGACGAGCAGCAGCGAGACCGTGGGGCGGGACGACAGCACCAACCACCTCCTCCTGTGGAGAGCGTGAACAGCCACGGCCCCCCCCGGGCCGCCCCGCCCGGGAAGAGGGGGGCGCTGCCCCCCCTGCGTGCAGAGAGGGGGGTCCCGGCCCCCCCTCCCCAGCGCCCCCCGCCCCAGCACCTCTCATCTCCAACCCGGCTGCTCTCTGTGTGCTCGGGGTTGGGGGGGATGAGCCCCGGTCCCCCCGCCGTCCCCCCGGCCACCGCACGGGGCTCGGGGTGTGGGGGGACACTCACCGCTTGGGGGGCCTCCAGGACATTGTGTGTGTGTGTGGTGGGGGGGAGGGGGTGCGTGTCCTTGGGATCACGGAGCGTTCCCGGGGCCCGGCCGGAGGATGCCAGCAGCCCGGGACATGCCTTGCTCTCCGGTTTCGTGTGTGCCTGCTTCACGGGGCGGAGGGGCCTGCCACTGTCACCTCCCCCCCACCTCGGGACCCCCGGCCACGCCGCGGGACCACCCCAGGGACGATGTGGGCGCGGTGCCCCCCCCCCTCGGCCCGGGCCTCCCGCTCCCCCCGCCTGCTCCATCGCCAGCACCCAGATAGCTCTGTTTGTTTGTTTGTTTGTTTTAAATATATATATATTATATATATAGAAACATCCTTATTTATTTGGGGGCGGTTTTGGACGGGGGGGAGGAGGGGGGGCTGGTGCATCCTGACATCGCTGTGGGTCCCTCTGCTCCGGAGCTGAGGGATTCAAACTTCCTGGAGAGCTGGACCCCACTGGTGGAGCTGGATCTTGGGTGTTGGTGGAGGTGGGGAGTAAGGAAATTGGGGGTTTCCCCCTCTGTTCTCTGTGATTCCCAGTGGGATTTCGCAGCCTGGGCAGTGGGATGAAGGCACTGCTGCATCTCCTGGATGAGGATAAGCATCTTCACATTCCCCACCGGGGGTGGCCCCAAACCGGGTGTGGGGACCCTAAAAAATGAGACTTTCTGGACCAACCCTCCCCCGTTTGCCCTTTTTTCCTCCCCGTTTTCCTGCTTTCACCTCAGGGTCCGGCTGAGACCGGTGCTCCCAGGCCGGGACACCCTGTTGTCCCCCTGGGAGAGGTGACAACGGCGGTGGCAGGGATGAACCAGGTGGATGAGTGACGGGAATTGCTGCCGTCCCACGTGGAGCCATCGCGGGGGAGGGGCGGGGGGGATGTGGGTGTGCTATAAATTGGGATGAAAAGGATATTTTGGGAAGGTTGGGGCGGGATTTCAGTCACGTGGAGGAGGCTCTTTGTCATTAAAGGTCACCCGTGTCAGAGTGAACCCGGCGCCGGTCTCGTCCTTCCCTCGGGGTGGGGTGACAGGAACAGGGTGAGGAGCTCCCACCACCCGCTGGCATCACTGGGAATGCCACGTGGGATGAAGAAACCCTTCCCACTACTGGGGTGCAGCTGTTCCGTCCTGGATAACCCCAAGGGGGATGCTGGGGGAGGAGATCCCTCCCTTGTGCCAGAGTACTGGAATATATCCCACTCCCTGGCTGGACAAGCAGGGGACAAGCAGGTCCTGGGGAGCACTGGGAGATGGAGGGATCACCAGGCTCAGCTGCAACCAGGGTGTCCCCAGCATGGAAAGACTGTTCCCTAGGGCAGAGGGTGAGATCCCATGTGCTTTAGGGCATGTAGGAAAGCTGGGTGCAGCACCTATGGATTGCTTTTACCCCTCAATTTTCCTACTCCCCCCCCCCCCCCCCCATTTCCCCGCTTTTTCCCCCCCTGATTTTCCTGCTTTCACCCCAAGATCCAGGCAAGACCAGTGCTCCCAGAGCGGGTCACCCTCTTGTCCCCAGGGGAGAGGTGACAACCACGGGGGTGAACCGGGGTGTCCTCAACCCCATATGGGGACTAAAAAGAAAATCCTTTTTTTATTTTTTTTATTTTTTTTTTAATTCCTTCTGGGAAGGCAAAAATCGCCCCTATCTGATTCCTCGCGTTTTCCCCCCTAGAGCCCCAAGGAGGGCGGGATAAAGGCCCAACATTCCCAAATTCCCGCAGTTCCCGGGAGGCGGCGCTGCTGCGGCGCAGGGATAGGGGGCGTGGCTAAGAGACGAAGGGAGGCGGGATTATGCGTGTGACGTCACGGAAAGGGGCGTGACCCGTTGTAATTAGCGCGCCCTGGGTTCATTCATAAGGAGGAGGCGCGACCGACGGGGCGGCCCCGGGGGGAGCCCGGGGGGCTCCGTGGCGGGGCAGGTAAGGGACACCCCCGACCCAGGGACCCCCCCTCTACCCGGGGGGGGCTCATCCCGACCCGGGGGACTCGGGGTCCTTCACCTTGGAAGGGTTAATTCCCCCCTGGAGCGCTCCGGGATTGCGGTTTCTGCAGCTTTGCGTTGTGCGACGGAGCGAGGGGGTGATGTTTTTTGGGGTGCCGGACCCCCCGATTGGCGGTAAAAAAAGGGTGAGGGCGCGTTGTCTTGGGTTTGTCGCTAAGTGGGGTACGAGGAGAGCTTGGAGTGGGGGCAGTGGGGACCCCAAAGCGGGGCCGGGAGGCTCCGACTGCGGCAGCGACGAAGTAGGTTAAAATAAAGGGTGGAGAGGGGGAAAAGTAGGTTAAGGAAAACTCGGCAGCGGCTGCCTGGGAGAAAGGATGAGGATGGCGAATCGTGACGGGTCTTTTTTGCTGCCGGGAGCTGGAAAATCCCGGGGCTCGAAGCCAAAAAGCCCTGCGGGAGCCGGGATGCTGCGGTGAGGGGCTGCCCCCCAAAAATTGGGGTGGAACGTGCCGCTGCCCGGGTTTGGCGGGATCCCAGCGCTGCCTCTGGGATCGCTGGGTTTTAACGCTGGATATTTGTGGCGGTCCCGCTGTTCCCACAGCTCCGAGGGGGCCCCGGGGGAGGCGATAGCGCCGAGTTTCGCTCCATCTGCCGGACAATCCCCTCCTTGTCCCGCGCTGCCTCCAAGAGCTGCTCCCCGAAGTTTTCCCGAACAGTTGCTCCCTTTTAGATCCGTTTATCTGCAGGAGCCATCGGCTGAAACCCTGTTCCCCCACAGGGAGGGAAACCTATGAATCCCAGTGGGCAGCCTTGGATTACAGGCTCTATTAAAGCAGGAATGGGAATAAAAGGCTTCTGTGATCCAGAGGGATTTCTGGGGGAGGGTTCCAAAACCAAGTCACCTTTCCTGCCGCGTTTGCATCGATGCACCAGCCAGGTAGGGGGTGGAGATGCCGGAGATCCCCAAAAAGCAGGTCTGGCCCCGATGGGGTTATTTTCTGGTTTCCTGTGGTTCTTGAAGGGACAAATCATGTCGGGTTTAGGAGTTTCAGGGCTTCTCTCTGCTGTGCCAGGGCAGCTGGGCATCCCATGATCCTGCATCCCACATCCCCACCTGGGGTGGTTCCTGGGGGCCCCCAAAACCGGGTGATGAGTCCTGGGGTGGTCGTGACTCTGCAGAGCTCCAGTGCCAACCAGGAGCTGGCACTCTTTGATCCCTGAGCCTCCTGCATCCCTGTTGGCCACCTAAGGGATGTCCTTAACCCCTGGATTAAGCCCGGCCTCACACCTGCTCTACCTGGGGCCAGCCCTCTTCCTGGAGGGGTTTAAATCCGTTTGTGAGGGTCTGGAATTCTCTGGGGAGCCGGGATGCTCCGGCAGCCTGGGATGTGCCAGCCTGTGGCATCATTCCCGAGGTGCTTGAATCCCACAGCCCCAAAGGATTAAAATGCTTCCCATTAGGCTTGAACTCGAGTTTTACAAGTGCTGGCTCACCGTTTTCCTCCCTCTGTGCTCGAGGGGCACGTCCCAAATCCCGGGGGGAGGATTCCAGAGGTGGGCTGGTTGGCTCCATGCTGGCACCTGGCAGGATGCTCCTTTACTGGGAGGAACTGGAGCACAGAGGATTCTCACTTTGGGTTGTCCCAGCGCACATCCCATAAATATCTTGCTCATTTCCTGCCCCCCCCCCACTCCCAGCGCCCCCTCTCATGTTTAATGAACTGCATCTCAGGCCACTAATTAGTACAAACTCGTCAGGCAGAGGCTGTTCCGAGGCTCCCATGGGACCGTGACGACCGGGGGAGTTTCCATGCGGGCGGCAGGATTTCCATGTGGAGCCTGGAGCCGACTTTGGGTTGTTGGTTGTTTTTTTCCTTCCTTCCTTCCTTCCTTCCATTCTTCCTTCCCCCCATCCCCTGTGCTCTCAGCTGAGGTTTTAATTTTATATTTTCCTGTGGGAAACACCTTTCGTTTTGCTCCAGTTTGTGTCTAAATATGTGTTTATTTCCTTTTTAGTGACTTCGTTTCCTCGTGGCAGGTGCACAAGGATTTCCTCTGGAGCAGGGAGAACCTTCCTTTAACTTTATTTAGCATCACCTGCTCCTTGCATGGGTGGTGTGACTCCATTGCAGGGGTTGGTGCCTCTCCAGTCTGGGATGGAGTTGGGATCTGACCATGCCAGGCATCCCATAAATCCTCTTATAAAGCTTTTTGGGGGATGGTGCAGGGGTATTTAGGCAGATACCTCGGAGCATCCCCGTGGAGGGAAATAGGGCCCCCAAGTTGCTTCTCCACTGGGATTTTCCCTGGATGACGACCCCAGTGCTCCGCCTTGGGCAGGTGTCCCCTGGTGATGAAGAGGAGCGGGATGCGCTGGTGGCTCGTCACCGTCCTGGGGGTGAGTATGGCCTGCTCCATCCATTCCCAGCCCATCCATTCCCATCCCATCCCTCTGCTTCTCTGCCTTTGGCGCCTCTGATGCTCAAACACCACCCCACAGCCATAGCAGGGCATCCCAAAACACCTCCCGCCTGGAAACTTGCAGCACTTGGGGAGATGCTCAGTTTGGATTGAGGGTTTTTCCTCCTTCCCCTTTTTCTTCCCCCTCCCTTTCTCTCCTTCATCAAATCTTCTTCCAGGGCAGGGTGTCTGATAAGGAATGTGGCATCTCTGGGGCCACGTTTGCATCCATTATGGGATGGCTTGGCATCTAGGATGGGTTTGTGACCATCATATCACTGATGATGGTTTGCCCCCATTGTGCCCTCACTGGTGAAGGGTTTGCATCTGCCGTGGTCCGGGTGACAGTTTTGCCTCCGCCACGTGGCCTGTCATGGGTTCATCTCCGCCCCGTCATCCCCATCCAACCCTCCCGGAGCCACATTCCCACTGGCACAGGCCTTGGAGCAGCGGCAGAGCCGGAGCAGCCGGCGCTGAGCCCTTTGATTCTCCCGCAGGTGCTGAGCAGACTCGTGGGGGCCGAGAGCTGGAATTCCTGGGAGCCCAGGACACCGGGATGCCCTCCCGGGGAGGAGCCCAGCGGGGTAAGCCGAACCCAGAGGGATAAGCCTCGCCCCCTGCGGCACATCCACATGGATCATCATCCAGCCACGGCTCAACTCCCCTCTCCCTCACCGCAGGATCCAGGGGGGACGTGCCGAGCTTGTCCCCCCGGCACCTTCTCCCTGGGGGACACTCCCTGTGCCGCTCACACGCAGTGCCGGGCCGGGAACAGGATCCTGGTGGCCCCGGGGACAGCGGGAAGTGACAGCCGGTGCGGAGCCTGCCTGCCGGGGTGAGCCCGGGCGGGGGGGACACCGGGAACCCCCGACCCCGCTCCCGGCCGGATCCTGACCCTCCTGCCCTCCCGCCCCGCAGGTTTCACAGCCCCGAAGGGGAGAGGGACCCCCGGGGCCGGTGCCTGCCCTGCGCCGCTGCCCCCCGCAGCACCCCGGGGTGCCCAGGTGGGTGCTGGAGCTGCAGGTGCCACCCCGGGGTTCGGGGGAGGGGATGGCAGAGCCGCAGGACGTGCCCCCCAGCGGTGTCCTGGCGGGATGTGGCACCTGAGAACGGCTCCACTCGTGACACGAGCGGCTCCTGCTTCCCCGGGGTCCAACTGCAGCAGGGCTCCCGGGAAAACGGGATTGAATCCCAGGAAAGCCCCTCTCCCCGAGGCTGATCCAGTGCCTCCCCATTCCCTCCCACCCCCCAGGCCGGCGGCGGGTCCGCAGCCCCGAAACGCCGGGACGAGCACTGGGAACCAACGGGACACGGGTGACCCCCAGGGGGGAGGAAGAGGAGGAGGCGGCGGCGGCGGCTCAGGCGGCCCTGCTGACCATCGTCCCGGTCTTCTGTGCCATGGGATTGCTGGGAATCCTAGTGTGCAACCTGCTGAAGAAGAAGGGGTACCACTGCACCGCCAGCAAGGAGCCGCAGCCCGGAGGTACCGGTGAGCGGCGGCTGTGCCGGGATCCCACATCCAGCCCTCCCACATCCATCTCACCTCAGCCCATCCCCACGCCTCCTGATGCTCATTGTCCCAGCGCACCCTGCTTGTTTCATCCTGATGGTTTTGGGGTGGTTTATCCCCCATCGCAGAGTTGCCCCCTTCCTTCCCTCCCCCCCCCCCCCCCCCCCCCCCCCCCCCCCCCCCCCCCCCCCCCCCCAATTCTGCCCGCAGGTCCCAGCTCCATCTACCAGCCGGAGGATGCCAGCGAGGACACCATCGGGGTGCTGGTGCGGCTCATCACTGAGAAGAAAGGTCGGAGGGGGTGTCCCTGGAGGGGGGGGGGAAAGGGGGTGACATGGGCCAGACCCCCTGACCCCCAACTCCCCGGTGTCTCTCACCCCCAGAAAACGCGGCGGCGCTGGAGGAGCTGCTGAAGGAACATCGCAGGCAGCAGCTGATGCCGCCGAGCTGGGCCCCCCTGCATAAGTACGACCCCCCCCTCCCCACTCAGGGCTGCACTGAGGATCCCCCCGTGGTGGGAGGACCAACCCCGTGGTGACGGTGGCATCTCCCCCGCTGTTCCCAGGCTGCACCTCCTGCCGCAGTTCCCCCCTTCCTGTCACCACCAGCAGCACCTGCACACGGTGCAGGGCCCGGCCCCCTGCGCCCGCTGCACCCAGAAGTGGCCGGCGGTGCTGCCACCCCCCGGTGCCGCCAAGGTCCCCAAGCCCAGCGAGGTGACCATCCTCTCCATCGGCAGGTGAGCAGGGATCCCCCCACCCCACCCCAGCAGGGCTGTGTCCCCTCCCCAGGGTGGGACAGGCTGATGTGATGCTCCCCCATCGCCCCCCGACAGGTTCCGCGTGTCCCGGATCCCGGAGCTCAGGAGCGAGGCGGGGGCTGAGCCCCTCCGGGGGCCCCTCCCCGGCAGCGGGGTGAGACCCCCGTGGCTGAAAAGCACCGATGGCCCCCCCGAGGTGAGGGAAGGGTGTGGAGGGAGGGTCGGGGGGAGCTCTTGGAGGGGAAAACCCGGGACTTCTGGAGGCTGGAGAGGGGTGCATATAATCTGAAGCCTCATGGGGGCATCTGGTGAGGGGTGAGGCTGGAGCAGCCCCAGCACCCCCAGGCCTCTTCCAGCAGCTGGGAGGCTTAAAAAAAAACACTTTAAAAATTGAACACCCCTTTATTTTCACCCCCCATGTGTTTGGGGTGTGTCGAGGGGGCTGTGGGGTGGGTGCTGATGCCCAGGGGTGCTGCGGGGACACAGTGCTGGTGGCCCCTGGGGTGTCCTGCAGCAGCCAGGGACTCCAATACACCCCCGTGCCCCCCTTACAACACCCCTGTCCCCCCTTCCTGCTCTGTACCCCCCTAAAAGCAGGTGTGCAACAGCACATTAGCATATATTTGAATGAGTGATCGTGCCCTGTGTGCGGGCAGAAGGCTCTGTAGGGGGCCATGGCCACTTCTGTACGTGCAGGGACCTCTCCACCCCCTCCCTCAGCTCTGGGCACACCGAGGCAGGAGCCAGGGGGTGTCCCACAACACAGGGTGACACGGAGTGACACGGGGTGGTACGGCCAGGGGGCTGCTGGTGACTCATGGGCAGCTGCTCGGGCTCACGTGTCCCTGAACGCGTCCCCCCAGCCCTGTCCTCCCTCCCTGCTGCCCGTGCTGGTGGCCACGCGTGCCTGGCATGGAGTGGGGGTGGGACACAGTCCCCTGGAACACTCCAGGATTGGGACAGAGCGGCTGGAAAGCTGGGAAAGGCCCTGGGGGTGCTGGTGGCAGGGGCTGGACACGAGCCCAGGTGGCCAAGAGGCCAATGGCACCGGTGTGACCCACGGTGGGGCAGCAGGGCCGAGGCAGTGCCTGTCCCTTTGCTGGCACTGCTGAGGCTCCTCCAGCCCTGGGGGGCAGTTCTGGGACCCTCATGACAAGGGTGGAGTGTGCCCAGAGAAGGGAACACAGCTGGGAAGGGGCTGGAGCAGCAGGAGCGGCTGAGGGAGCTGGGGGGGCTCAGCCTGGAGAAAAGGAGGCTCAGGGGGGACCTCCTGGCTCTGGAACTCCCTGACAGGAGGGGGGAGCCGGGGGGAATTTTGGGCTCTGCTCCCAGGGAACAGGGACAGGAGGAGAGGGAACGGCCTCCAGCTGTGCCAGGGGAGCCTCAGGTTGGACATCAGCAGGAATTTCTTCATGGAAAGGGTGGTCAGGCCTCGGCAAGGGCTGCCCAGGGAGGTTTGGAGTCCCCACCCCTGGAGGTGTCCAAGGAAGGCCTGGCCGTGGCTCTCAGTGCTCTGGGCTGGGGGACAAGGTGGGCATCGGGCACAGGGGGACACTTGGTGATCTCAGAGGGCTTTTCCTACCCCGGTGATCCTGGGATTCCATGTGCTCACCCTCACACACAGGCACCTGGAGCTCTGTACGTGTGCACCCCTCACCCCTGGTCCATCCCTTGTCCTCCACAGGTGGCACCTGGCCAGGGGGTGGCCTCGGGGGACAGTGACACCCACACGGACCCCCCTGGAGGACATGGGGCGTTGTGAGAAGCCAGTCCCACTCAGAGCCACGAGGAGCTGGAGGTGCAGCTCGGCCTCTGCTCCTGCCACCGAGGTGTCCAGTGGCAGCACAGCAAACCCAAGGCCCTGCCCAGGTGCTGGGAAGGATTCCCTGTGCCGTGGTCCGGCGTGGTGGCCTGATGGACACGATCTCTGGGAACCACACCATGGCACAGCTCCACTGGGAGCCACTGGGATGCCACCCACGGTCACCTCCCGGGGTCTGCTGAACTGAAGCCCCTCCAGGACCACCACGAGCTCCTGACTTCCCTCCCATCACCAGCTGCCAGGATAACGACAGCCACTGGATCACTGGAGAACTCCCACCTCACCAACAACCCCCACTGGGCGTGGACTGCTCCGGGCAAAGCCGGTCTCCTGCATCCATCCACCCGCTATCCAAAGTCTCCCTCAGCCCAGGAGAACGTGGTGGGGACGCTCCCCGTGAAGGCCACACACTTCACTTCCCACAGGAGATGTTTCTGTAGGATCACGTCGGGATCATCGGGGCAACCCACCCAAGGTTGAGCTGGAGACCATCCAGCTCCAGCAACGGGTTCATGGCCCATCCCATTCACCCCACCCCCTCCACATCCCTGTGCCAAAAAACAAAAAAAACAAAACACCACACCCCGACCACCAAACCGCGTCGGGCTTCTTTTATTTATTTATTTAATTTTTTTTTTAATTAATATTATTATTATTATTATTGAACTTTTTTTTTTTTCTTTTTTTTTGGAAACATTTTCGTAAGTTCTCGAACGTTCTACGTCTGACAGGAAAAGATCGGACAGTTACAAACTCTCGGCTGGGATCTGCCAGGGAGATCACGAAACCTGATCTTCAGAACCGAAACCAGAACAGAAAACAAACGGGGGAAAACGACCCCAAATTCCAGATGGACAAACTGAGGCTTGGGGGGTGGGGGAAGGGGGGCCTTTCCAGGGCAGCAGCTCCAGGCCATGGTTCCCTCCACACCTGGGAGACTTGGAAGACGTGGTTACTCTTGGGTTTGAATTCTTTTCTCTTTTGGTATTTTTTTGGGGGGAATTTTTTTTTTTATTTATTTATTTTTGTTTAAAAGGGTCCAATAATATTTCCAACCGAGCTGGTCTAGAGGTCAACGTGAATTAAAATTAATTACAAAATTAATGACATAAAAAGAGGGGCAGGAGCCCGCCTGGGTTTGTTCCGCGCTCTGGGAATGGGAGGGTTTGGATGTGATCCCAGATCCCACTGCCTCCTTATCCCTTCCTTGCCGTGCTTCCCGATGGATCCCGACCCTACAAATCCCTTCCCTTATCCCAAACCCCCCAGGAAAACTCCCCAGCTCCATCCCTTGCAGGAGGACACAGGGAGGCTGCAGGTGGCCTTGTTGCATCAAGATTATTCCCTCCAAACAGCCCAACCCAGCCTTTCCAAATGGGAATTGCTGCCCTTCAACCACAGGTTTTCCTATTCCTGCTTTGCCAACATTCCCATGAATTACTGGAGAATCTACGAGTGCAACGCGCCACAAAAACGCCCTTTCCAAGCCTTTTCCAAGCTCCATAAAAGGCTTTATTTTCCATTTTTTTTCCCTGTGGGAACGCCAGCACACGGCAGAGAATACTTGGAAGCTGCTCCTGCCTCAGGAGCTCCTGGCAAAGCCAAGGGAAGATGGGCAGAGGGTCACCACGTTTTGGGAACGACAGTTGGAGGGCCTGAAAATATTGGCAATTAAAAAATAAACCCAAACTCCCCCTCCTCCCCCCCAAAAAAACCCCTGGATTTATGGATATCCAGCGGCTCTTATTGCTCTTGTTGGCTGGTTGGATTTTCCTATCAAAAATAAAGCCCCAAACGTGGGTTTTCCACCCCCCTAATAAAAAGCAAGATCCGATTTCACGCCCTCCAGCTGGGAACCACGTCATCCCAGATTCCCGGGGGGAACGCAGGGGATGGCAAACGGGGTGGGAAGGGGGCTCTGGAAAGGACCATATTCCGGTGGCTGTGGGAAAACCTGATCCTCTGAACAT